TCAGCCTGGGCAATGGCAGAATTGGTATAGCAGAAGACGTGTTGTTGGTACTGAGAAGTCTTGGCGACGAGATGGGGATTGGCTGTGTCCAAATACAAGATGTGAGAATGTAAATTTTGCATTCCGAGGTGTCTGTAATCGCTGTCAGGCAGCACGTTCTACTAATGTTAGTGCAAAGGGGACAACTAAAAATGGTGGAAAATCTCAGACTCTTACTGTCCAAATGACTACTGATGAGTTGAAGAAGTGGCTTCGGTTCAAGGAAGGAATCATTGATGAAAGGTCAACAACCAAGATATTTGCTACATCTGCTAACCCCTATGGTAATACTTCGAAATTTGTGAAAGGAAGTTATTTTGAGGCTGGTACACAGTGGTTAATAGACTCTGGTGCGTCTAAACATATGGTCGGTTTGTATAAGGATTTCTGCAGTTATACTCCTGATTTTACAGGGCAAAATGTGAGACTTGCTGATGGTTCTGGCCAGAGTATTAGGGGGGTAGGAACAGTTAAATGTTGCCCAAATATGACTCTATCATCTGTTTTACATGTTCCCTCATTCCCAATCAATTTACTATCCATCAGCTGCATTACAAGAGAACTTAATTGTGTTGTAATCTTCTTCCCAACATGGTGTTTATTTCTGGAACTTGGGACTTGGAAAATCCTTGGGACAGGAATTATGTGAGGTGGTCTATACTACTTGGATGATGATATGGCACCTATGGCTGCTGCTGTGCTGTCTCAGTCACCATTGGAACAATTTCTTCTTCATCATCGCAGGCTGGGACACATGTCCTTTAACACCCTGGGTCAGTTATATCCTAATCTCTATAATAAAATTTGCAATGAAAGCCTAGTATGTGATGCCTGTCAGTATGGGAAGCTAACCCGTAGTATATATACTCCATCTGATCACAGAAGTACAGTGCCATTTCAAACTATCCACTCAGATGTGTGGGGTCCTAGTGGGGTGTGGTCACTTTATGGATACAAATTTTTTGTTACATTTATTGACTGTTGCACTAGGACCACTTGGGTTTATGTACTGAGAAATAAAAGTGACGTGTTTGAATGCTTTAAGGATTTCCACAACTTAATCAAAAATCAATATGATGCACGAGTGAAAATATTTCGAACTGACAATGGTACAGAATATGTAAATAACCAATTTGATGAGTATTTGTCAAGCTTTGGAATTATCCATCAAACTAGTTGCCCAGGTACTTCCCAGCAGAATGGGTTGGCTGAAAGGAAAAACAGACATCTCTTAGAAATCACCCGGTGTATCATGTTAGCTATGAATGTTCTAAAATATTTGTGGGCTGAAGCTGTGATGACAGCGGCTTATTTGATGAATAGAATGCCATCTCGGGTGCTCAATAACAAGACACCGATTGAGTGTCTAACTGGTGAAACTACATATGTTGTGCCACCAAAGGTATTTGGATGTGTATGTTTTGTGAGGGATCATAGACCATCGGTTGGCAAGCTTGACCCTAGAGCAGTGAAATGTGTATTTGTGGGATACTCTGGAAAACAAAAGGGTTATAAATGTTGGTGCCCATCAGAAAAACGGATGTTTGTGAGCATGGATGTAGTGTTCAGGGAACATGAACCATATTATGGGGAACCGGTAGATTTAACTGATGTCTTCCCTGATGATGTTACAGGCCTGGACAACGAGACAGGGGGAGACGACAGCAGAGAAGGCAATGATGTAGCACTAGAGAAGATGATAGTTGGGGTTATACCTATTGAAGATGTGCAAGACGATGCAGGGCAAGAAAATGAACAGAGAGAACAACAAAGTGACTCTAATGGAGCATTACAATGGCCAAAACCGAATGAGGAACGAGAAGTTCAAGTGCTTACATGGAGGCATAGATGGCCAAAACCAAATGAGGAACGAGAAGTTCAAGTGTTTACACGGAGGCATAGAATTGAGAAGGAGCAAGTGCAGAGACAAGAACCTAACCCACCGGAGTGTGGTACAGAAACTCAAGAGCTTACTGATACATATGATTTAGATGATGGTACGCTTCCTCATTCTCTTCCACATGAGGATTTAGATGCTCCTATTGCTCTTAGGAAGCAACCCCGCACTACTGCTGGGAAATTACCATCAAAGCTATCTCCATATGATGTCTCAAATTATGTGTCATATGCATCCTTGGGTTCCAAGTATAAGTCATTCATTGCAGCTTTAGATTCTATAGATCCTATACCACATGACTGGCAAGTAGCAATAAAGGACCCAAGATGGAGAACAGCAATGTTTGAAGAGATGGAAGCACTTGACAAAAACAATACTTGGATCCTCACCACTCTTCCTGCAGGGAAAAAGACTGTGGGTTGTAAATGGGTATTCACTGTAAAACAGACTCCAGAAGGTAAAGTGGAGAGGTACAAGGCCAGGTTAGTAGCAAAGGGGTATAGCCAAACCTATGGAGTAGATTATGATGAAACTTTTGCCCCAGTAGCGAAAATGAACACCATCAGAACAATAATCTCAATTGCAGCAAACCGTAATTGGAAGTTGTTTCAAATGGATGTTAAAAATGCATTTCTCCATGGAGACTTGCAGGAAGAGGTGTATATGGAGATTCCTCCAGGATTCAATAGCCGTGAGACTAAAGGCAAGGTTTGTAAACTAAAAAAATCCCTCTATGGTCTGAAACAATCACCTCGAGCATGGTTTGGAAGGTTCAGAAAAGGAATTTGCTCCTTGGGGTATCGACAAAGCAATGCTGATCACACTCTCTTCTTTAAACGTCATCATGATAAGATTACTATACTGACTGTATATGTTGATGATATAGTAATCACAGGGGATGATGTTGAGGAGATATCATACTTGAAGAAGATGATGGCTAAAATATTTGAAGTTAAAGACTTGGGCTATCTTCATTATTTTCTGGGGATTGAAGTTGCTTATGGGGCACAAGGTATTTACCTTTCTCAAAGGAAGTATGTACTTGATCTTCTTAATGAAACAGGTATGTTAGGATGCAAACCAGCGGCTACACCTATTGAGCAAAATCATCGTACCTTGGCAGACTCAGGTGACCCCATAGACAAATACCAATATCAGAGGTTAGTTGGCCGTTTAATCTATTTATCGCACACAAGGCCAGATATTGCATATGCAGTTAGTGTTGTAAGCCGTTATATGCATGATCCTCGTTCAGGCCATCTAGAGGTGGTAAATCGAATTTTGAGATATCTAAAAGGTTGTCCAGGGAAGGGAATCCTATTTTCTAATCATGGACATTTGAAGGTAGAGGGATATACTGATGCAGATTGGGCTGGATGTCTAGATGATAGACGGTCTACATCAGGTTATTGTGTGTTTGTTGGAGATAATCTAGTTTGCTGGAGAAGTAAAAAGCAAAGTGTGGTGGCACGATCTACTGCTGAGGCAGAATTCAGGTCTATGGCTTCTGGTTTATGTGAACTGATGTGGTTGAGGATATTACTATCTGAGCTCGGTTTATTCGATGGAGGACCACTACAACTCTATTGTGATAACCAAGCTGCAATCAATATAGTGCATAATCCAGTTCAGCATGATAGAACTAAGCATGTTGAAATTGATAGACATTTCATTAGAGAGAAGTTAGATGAGGGGAGCCTTCGTGTTACTTTTGTTAGATCTGATAGTCAATTGGCAGATGTACTTACAAAAGGTGTTAGTGTTGTGTCTTTTGTAAACTTATGTAGCAAGATGGGACTCATGGATATATTCGCCCCATCTTGAGGGGGAGTGTTGGAGGTCCTAGCTTAGGAAAATAGAACTGTGTAGGGGCTAATATGTAATTTGTACATTGTATATACAGAGGTGAAGGAAGAGCACCTGAGGTGATTGAAGCTTCAGGAAATTTCCCCACTGTGAGTCCTCCAACCAACAAGTATTAAAAAGGAAAAAAATTAAATAGGCGAAAGAAAAATGACAAACAAAAATAAAAATGGAAAAGGAAAGAAAAAATAAAAGAAAACCGTTGATTGATGAATACGAATTTTCCACAATGGTGGAGTCCGGTATGCATAGCCAGCAGTCCGGGTTTTGAACCTTAGCCCTTGGTTGTGGCCTTCCATTGCCTCTGAACATAAAGAAGTTTTTCTGATCACCGGCAAATCTAAATTGCATTATCTATCAGCATAAATTGTATTCCCTAAAAAAATCTGAATTAAATGTGTGAACTCTAAGTTTGAACTGGAATTCTCCCTTGCAAAAAAAAAGAGAAAATTGCGTGTAATTTCTATAAGGCGCAAGCCAGTGACCAATCAGGCTATAAAACCTTCTTTTCTATGGCATATACTCCCTCCGTTCCGAATTATTAGATACCTCCGTATCTAGACAAATCTAAGACAAATAATTCGGAACGGAGGGAGTAGTAGCCAGTTGAGGACAAGTTGGCCGGCAGGAATTTTTCTAAGGATTCTAATCTGTGGACAAAAATGAGCAATAGAAAGAATTCTGAAAACTAAATCTTGGAAAACATATTATAGTGCATTTGAATCATAAAGTTTACTATCCTGCGGATTTACTATTTCTATAAGTTGGCCGAGGAGTTGTTTTTGCTATCCTGGCCAAGTCTGCGCATCACAAAGGCCAACGTCACAAAATGGGAAGTATATATAGTGTCCAGATTAGAAATGCGCAACTGAAGGCTTTTCTGAGGGCTTTTTTGTATTCAAAGATACTGTCACCTGTCAAGAGTAGTATTATGTTACTAGCTTGATAGCCGACAAGAGCATGAAGTAGCCGGTACCCAAAGAAAATACCCCAAAGCATCCTTGTTCCAGCACATCAATGGCCTACCCCGTCAAAGGGGTGCAAATTTTATAAGCCATGACTTACCCGTCAAAGTTTGCTGAGGAGTCGATAATGTGGAGGATGATCATTTGCCCCACTTTTCTTGGGTCAAATTCTCCCGTAAACATATGTCCCCATAGCCCACGAGTCCACGACCACGGATCCAAAATCTTCCACTCCTATGGCTGCGAGCTGCTGGTTCTTCTGGGCGCTGATTCTCGCTGCCGCCGAGGAAGAAGTGGAAGGCTGCTCGGGCTCAGCCAGTAGGTGCGGCGGCGTCAACATCTCCGACCCCTTCTGGCTCACCGACATGGCGACGGGGATCTCATGCGGCTCCCCCTCCCCTCACTTTGAGGTCGCCTGCTTCAACAACACTCCGGTTCTCCGGAGCTCCGCCGCCTTCGGCTACGGCTTTGCGATCATCAACATCTCCTACGGGGACGAAACTATGCGCGTCGCTGACCGAGGCAAGATGGAGCTGTTGCGCACTTCCAACAGCTGCCAATTGCCCATCTGGAACACCTCCATCAAAGTGGGGCGGCCGTTCAGCATCGCTGCCGCCAACCTCAACCTCGTCCTGTACAGGTGCACGGAGAAGGCCACCGCGACCGCGGCACGCCGGGACAGAGCAGCGCTGCTGGTGCAGACGAGGATGAGGTGCGGGAACGAGAGCATGGTGTTTGCGCGCGCGGGAGGCCGTTATTACGACGAGACGGGCGCGGGCGGCTACCCTGTAGAGGGTTGCGACGCCGCCGCCGTGCCGGTGGCGGGCTCGTCGCCGGCCCAGGTGAACGCGAGCGACTACGAGCGGCTCATCAACGATGGCTTCATCTTGGCGTGGGAGCGCCCCTCTACACGTAAGTTGACCCGTCAAATCAAATCATCTTTTGATCAAGGTTAGCTTAGGGTTTCCACTATGGCACCAGACAACCAATCATGCCACTCACTTTTTGAGAGAGGATGAGGCCGCAGACCCAGTCGTGGTCGTGGTGGATCGACGTTGGCCGCAGCCGGCCCGGCCAGCGCCGCATGCACTTGCATCTTCCTGCTCGCCAGACACGCGCCCACCTAACCATTGCCTGTAGGACTACTAGCCGAACTGGCATGTGCTGACATATGCTTGTTTTTAGCTAGATTTTCTCCGGTTCACTGCATATATCTATCCAAATGATAAACGCCACATGTGTGACACTTGTTCGTTGGTGCCATGCAATTGGCCTAGTGATATCATTTCCATCTTTAGTAGGTCACCTATACATTTGGTTTTTCTCCTTATTAGGGGCTGACATTTCGGCTAGATGCATGCATGGTTGTGTTTTGTCACGGTGGCACTGGCCGGTCAGTGGATCATGAGGCTGACCTCTTAGTAGCCACGAGTAAAGCTGTGAAAGTCGGGTAAACGCGAAAGTACCTTTCTACACCCAGAGCATTTGCTCCTGGCATGAACAGTACAATCAAAAAAATTCAAATAATTCTGAATTTTTTTTGGGACATACTTTCGCAAATGTTAGTTGTGTGACTCTGAAAAAGTTTTTTTACCACGCCTTCCATCAATGTGATTTTGTGATAAAATTTTGCATGCACAACTAACATTTTTGAAAGTATGCCACAAAAAAATTTCAGAATTTGTTTGAAATATTTTTGATATTACTGTTCATACCAGGAGCATTTGCTCCTAGGTGTAGAAACTACACGTCCGTGTAAACCTGTACTCTCGGCCTCTATCTGAGTTGGGTGGCAGTGCCTGTCTACCTTTTATCCCGTTGCGACCCATTAACTTCGTGCTAACTTTTGGCTGTTTACCCAAACGTGACACCTAGTTTTCACTAAGAAAAACTCATGTACACTGAAATTGGGGATGTGGATGGATGAATACTGTCGTCTACCGTGTGAGGGCCCGTCCCTTTCACGGTCCCAAACACAAATAAGAATGAAAACGAAAGAAAAAAATGGAGGTCGTCTAGTGAGCGGTCGTCTCCTTTTTCTCCGTCCCAAGCCAGAGTATTTAGAGTGTTGGGAGTAGTGGCTTCTGCATAGTTAGTCTGAACTCTGAACTTCTGAAGTCTATGGCCAAAATTGGCTTTGTTCATTTGTTCAGCCGTATAATCCAGTGAGAGGCCAGTCATAATTAGTAGACTTTCAGAAATACAGAGTTGCCGGCTCATGTTTATTATGCAGGACTTTCTGCCAAATTGCACCGCATTGGCCCACAATGGTGGGTGCTAAGTATTCCCTCCGTCCGATAATCCTTGTCGGAGAAATGAATAAAAATGGATGTATTTTGAACAAAAATACATCTAGATACATCCATTTCTCCGACAAATATTTCCGGACCGAGAGAGTATTATTCAGTGCTTTATGCAAGAGATAGTCCGTATAATGCGCTCGGGGCTCGGCCTATGTAGCTCTGCCATGTGAGGGCCCGTCCCACAAAAGAAAAACCAACATGCTCGTAGCTACTTCTCCCTCCGTAGAAAACCGGTTATTGAGTAACCTTTGTTTTTAAAATTCAAAATTTTCATTAATTATTTCTTTAAATGTTCCCAAAATTTATAATACCTATCCCTTATGGGAATCGAACCCGTGTCTTCGACATGAAAAGATGATGTCCTAACCTCTGGACGAAAGGGACCAAAAAGCTATTTTTCATATACTTAAGAGAAGAGAAGTGGTTCCTTTTCTTTCTATACGAAATACTTGATGCACTTATTGAATGGAAACTTGAATTGAGAGAAAAGGTGTGCTACGCCATAAGATTAAAAATACTCAAAAAATTGATTTTATTTTCATGAATTTAGAAAGTCCCATGATTACTTTAAAACAGTTTATTGAATTGCAGAAATGCTCATGCATTTTAAAATCATGGATTTTTAAAAATGCTTATGATATTTTAAGCGTGCATGAATTTAAGAAAGTTCATGTATTAGAAAAAAAGGACCGTAGAATGAAAAGTGACAAACACAAATAAAAATCAAAAGGAAAGAAAAAATGGAAGAAAACAGATGATAATCACCAGAGAAAAGGCAATTGCTTGAAAAACCCGCCAAGAACCAGCCGCGACTCGCGCGGTAATTGGGGCCGGCCCATAACGCTCATTCTAGCCCGCTATCCGGGTTTTGGACCTTCCAATGCCTCTGCATAGAAGTGAGTTTCCATGCACTGGCCAATCTAAACTGCATATCTGTCTGAATAAAATTTGTTACCCAAAAAAAATCTGAATAAAATATGTGAACTCCAAGTTTGAACTCAAATTCGCCCTTGTAAAGAAAAACATTTACGCAATTTCTAAAAAAACGCAACTGAGTCTTTTCTATGTTACGCAGTGACAAGTAGCCTGCCAGGTTGTACCGAGATTAGAATCTAGCTAGATAGAGGACATGAGGACAAAGATGCCGGAACCGAAATGATCAGGCTAAGCATCTTGGTTCCAGTCACATCACGGGGGAGTATTTAACCAAAAACTACCACAATTCATGGAAACGTGTCCAGAAACTACCACTTTACAAATTTGTGCCGAAAACTACCATTTTTTGACTAATCTTTGACTAAAAACTACCATGTCACGAAAGTGCCGATTCGCCTCTTCTAAACGCCTTTACTGATAGGATGGGCCCACACGTCATCATCAACCTTCTTCTTCCTCCCCTCCTCTCTCTCTTTGGCATTTCAACAAACATCTCTTGTGCATGGGACGGAAGCAGGCGAAAGAAGAGCGCAGATGGCGCCCGAGGCGGCCAACAGGGAGGAGGCCGAGAAGGCGCTCCGGCGCGCGGAGGAGCACTTCCTCGCGGGCAACGTGGCGGTCGAGCGCTGCGAGCGGCCCGCGTGGTGAGACCGGTACCACTCGTGCGCGGAGGCCGCGGTGGTGGCGGCGCTGCTATAGTAGGGGACGTGGCCAACGCCGGAGCAGAAGGAGAGGGCGTCACAGGCCTGGCCGAGCAGCTTGAAGGCGCCCTCGGCGGCGGCGGAGCGGTTCTTGTCGGGGTGGACGACGAGGGACAGGCACCGGAACTGCCTCTTCACGGCAGAGGCGGAGGCGGACCGGGCCATGCCGATGACGTCGTCCCAGTAGCCCGCGCGGTGTTGTGTCCGGGCCGCGGTGGCGTGGACGTCGTAGGCGGCGAGCGTGTGCGCGGCGTCGGGGAGCGATGGGGAGATCCGCCGGGCCTTGGCGGTCAGCAACCGCGCCCCCGCCATGTTGCCCGCGAGGAAGTACTCCTGCGTGCCCGTGGCCCGCGCCAGGAAGGGCGCCCAGTAGACGGACACCGTGACGTTGTGGGTGGGGAACGCCCAGCGCCAGAACTTGCGCGTCCCGGGCTCCGGGTCGCGGTACACCAGGTGGTACGGGAAGGACGCGCCCAGGAGGCAGACCAGCGACTCGGCCTGGTGATGAGGTGGTGGGACTCGCCGGCCGGCGGGGGCAGAGCGGCGGAGTGCACTTAAGGTGTTCGTGGAAATGAGAGAGAGAGGAGGAAGAAGATTGATGCTGACAGGTGGGCCCAAGCGGTCAGATTTGTGCTTAGCACGGGCTAAGCGAGCGATTTCGCGACTTGGTAGTTTTTTGCCACGGATTAGGAAAAAAGTGGTAGTTTTCGGGACAAAATCGTAAAGTGGTAGTTTTTCGTCACGGTTCCGTGAATTGTGGTAGTTTTTGGTTAAATACTCCATCACGGGGCCATGGAGGTCATGGTCATGGCTTACCCCGTCAAAGGGAAACTCTGAAATTTTTATAAGTCATGGCTTACCAGTCAAAGGGGTGACTCGCGGAATTCGTAGACAATGACCGTTCGCCCCAGTTTTCCAGTCAAATGTTCACCGCTCACTCTGCCGTCCGTCCCCATATATTAGACCGCCGTATTCTCTCATAGGTGTAGCCTATGCCCCCCTTTTCTGTTCGCTACAATCTTTTGAAATCTTCTGTTCCCATGGTACCGAGTTGCTGGTTCTTCCGGGCCCTGTGGCTACCACTGGTGCTGGCGGTGGCTGCGGCCGAGGAACAAGGGGAAGCCTGCTCGGGCTCGGCCAAGATGTGCGGCAACCTCACCATCTCCCGCCCGTTCTGGCTCACGGACTGGGAAAAGGGAAGACCATGTGGTCACCCAGACTTTGAGGTCTCTTGCGTTAACGGCAGTTCATTTCTAAGGAGCTCTATGCCCTTTAGCGGTGGCTTTGCAGTCGTCAACATCTCTTACCAGCACGTGGTTGATAGTGGCAAGCTGTACTTGTTGCTGGACGCCTCCAACAGCTGCCGAGTACCGATCTGCCAAGCTCGGCGTCTCGTTCAGCGTCAATCCCGGCAATCTGAGCCTCATCGCGTACAATTGCACGGAGGAGGGCGCGGCGGCAGCCGTGGCTCGTCGGGATAGAGAGCTGGTGCAGACGGGACTGAGGTGCGGGAACGAGAGCGAGGTGCTTGCCCGCGCGGGAGTGCGTTTCGACGCCACCGGAAACTACTCTGGCTACGCTTTGGAGGGCTGCGACGCTAGCATCGTGCCGGTGCTGGGCTCGTCGTCGGGCAGGACGAACGCGAGCGACTACATGCAGCTCATCAAGGATGGCTTTCTCCTCACATGGGTGCGCCCCCCTACCTTTGCACGTAAGTTCACCCGCCGCAAATCATCTCTTTAATCCACTTCCTGGATAGCTATTAGCTAGCTAGAACGCTTGGAAACCGGGCAATCAACCGAACTTCTGAAGTCTATGGCCAAAATTGGCTTCGTTCATTTGTTTAGGAGTATAATCCAGTGAGAGAGAGCCCAGTCCGAAATAGACTTTCAAACATATGGACTTGTGGGCTAATGTTTATTTCTTGAAATTTACGACCGAATTGCACCGCCTTTCCCCACAATGGTGGGCATCACTTTACTCAATGGATGGTCTATATAACGCGCTCTGGGCTTGCCCCATATAGTGCTGCCGTGTGGGGGCCCGTCCCATCAGAAGAAAAAACGGCGCGTTCGTAGCTACTTCTTCCTATGTAGAAAACCGGTTATTTAGTACCTTTTGTTTTTAAATTCAAATTGTTCATATTATTTCTAAAAATGTTCTCAATTTTTGTAATATATTTCATAAGTTCAAAAATACTAACAAAATTGAAGAAAATGCTGATGAATTTAGAAACTCTCATGGTTATTTCAAAACAGTTTATTGAATTATAGAAGTGCTCATGATATTTTAAACGTAAAGAAAACCAGTGATGATCATTAGAGAATTGTAAAGGAAAGAAGAAAAAATGGAAGAAAACTGATGATGATCATTAGAAAGAAAAAAAGGAATTGAAAAAACCACCAAGAACCAGCTGCGAAATTGCGGCCGGGCCATCACGCTCGCTACCATGCGATTTAGTGGCAAAGTGTTACAACAAGTGGTGAATACGAATTTCCCGCAATGGTGGAGTCTGGTCGGCGTAGCCCTCAATCCGGGTTTTGAACCTTAGCCTTTGGCCGTGGCATTACAATTCCTCTGAATAAAAGTGATTTTCCATACGCCAGCCAATCGAAATTGTAGATCTATCTGAATAAAATTAGTTCCCCAAAAATATCTCATTGAAAATGTGTGAACTCCGAGTTTGAACATCTATTATCCCTTGCAAAGAAAAACATTTACACAATTTATAAAAAATGCAGCCTAGTAACCGATCATACTACATGACCTTTTTTTTTCTGTTCCCCAAAAATATCTCATTGAAAATAGATTTTCTGAGAAGTCAAACTTTGACGAAGTTTGTGGAGAAAAATATATACATCTAGAATACCAAATACATAATATTAGATACTCCCTCCGTCCCATAATTAATGTAAGTCGTTTTTTGACACTAGTGTAGTGTAAAAAACCGCCTTACATTATGGAACAGAGGGAGTACATCATAAGACGTGTTTTCACATTAAATATATTTCATATTGTAGACATAAATAGTTTATCTATAAACTTGGTCATATTGTAGATATAAATATATTTCATATTGTATGTAAATTGACTTTCCAGAAAATCTATATGCACTACATTATATAACGGAGGGAGTATGTTATACAATATAACCAGTAACCTGCCAAGTGTGAAGGTTGTACCGAGATTAGAATCTACTCTTTTCGTTCCATAATATAAGAGCGTTAGGGACAGAGACTAGAGAGAGTAGTTAGACAGAAGACAAGAGCGCAAAGATGCCGGAACCAACACGACCAGGCTAAGCATCTTGGTTTGAGAGTCACATCACGGGGCCATGATGGCCTTTGTCATGGCTTACCCCCTCAAAGGGGAACGCTGAAATTTTGCAAGTCATGGCTTGCCAGTCAATGGGATCACTCGGCGTATCTGTGGACGACCAGTTTTCTATTCAAATTTGAACCACCCACTCTGCCGTCCGTCGTCCCCATATATCGTTCCTGGTCACTGGTTAGACCATCGTATTGTCTCATACCTGTAGCCAACCCCCCTTTGCTGTTTCACTGCAATCTTTTCAGTCTTGTGCTCATATGGCTCCGGGCTGCTGGTTCTTCCGGGCCCTGTGGCTATCAGTGATGCTCACGGTGGCTGCGGCTGAGGAACAAGTGGAAGCCTGCTCGGGGTCGGCCAAGAAGTGCGGCAACACCACCATCTCTCGCCCGTTCTGGCTCCCTGACTGGGAAACGGGGAAATCGTGTGGTTCCCCGGATTTCGAGGTCACTTGCCGCAACAGCACTGCTCCGGTTATACTCAACTCTGCACCTATCAGCTTTGGCTTTGCAATCGTCAACATCTCTTACAAGGAGCGTAGCTTGCATGTCATCGATCTGGGCAAGCGCTACTTGTTACAACACGCCCCCAACAGCTGCCAAGTGCCGATCTGGAACACCTCCGCCAAACTGAGCGCCCCGTTCAGAATCAGCCCCGGCAACCTGGGCCTCATCTTTTACAGTTGCCCCGAGGCGGCCGGAGCAGCGGCTCTGGCACAGGACGGGGAGCTGGTGCAGACGGGGATGGGGTGCGGGAACAAGAGCAAGGTGTTCGTCCGCGCCGGAGGACATTACAATGATACGAGCGGCTACCGCAGCTACGATGGCTGCGACGCTGCCGTCACGCCGGTGGTTGGCGCAGACGGCGGGGCGAACGCGAGCCAGTACGAGCAGCTCATCAACGATGGGTTCATCTTGACATGGGAGCTCCCCCGTCCACGTAAGTTCACCAGTCAATCATGTCCTTAATCCACTTCCTAGCCAGCTACCCGCAGTGCCTTTGCTTGGATTTCCCATATCGAACCAGGCAATTAATCAATCATAGTTAGTCACCAAACGAGGGTAAGGTTGAGTTGTTCGTGGGGCGGCTTGCCTACGAGTCAAATTGTGACATATGCTTTGTTTAAGTTAGATGTATCCGGATCACTTATACTAGTATATCTTGGCAGTATGGTGTGTGCACTGTGCACTCGTCTCCTTTCTCCTTCCCAAGGCAGAGTATTCGGAGTTGGGAATGAGTGGCTTCTGCATGGTTAGTCTGAACTCTGAACTTTTGAAGTCTATATGGCCAAAATTGGCTTCGTTCATTTGCTCAGGAGTATAATCCAGTGAGAGCCCATTCAGTAGTAGACTTTCAGACAATTATAGTTGTGGGCTAATGTTTATTTTTCGGGACTTTAGACCGAATTTCACCGGGTTGGCCCACAATGGTGGGTGCTATGAATAGTCTGTATAATGCGCAAGGGCTCGGCCCATGTAGAGCTGCCATGTGAGGGCCCATCCCTTCAGAAGAAAAACCGGTGCGCTCCTAGCTACTTCCCCCTCCCTAGAAAACCGGTTATTGAGTAACCTTTGGTTTTTAAATCATTTATTATTTCTAAAAAATGTTCTCAAACTTTAATAATATATTTTATAATTCTAAAAATACTCACAAAATTGAAAAAATGTTCATAATTTAGAAGCTCTCATGATTTTGTTAAAACGGTTTATTAAATTATAGAAATGCTCATAATTTTGTTAAATCATGGATTTAAAAATGTTTATCATAGTTTAAACCTCCATGAGCTTAAGGGACTGTTCGGAGTCCCACTGCTCCACGCTGCCGCTCCTGGAGCTGGCAGAGTTCTACTTGAAAATTACGGAGTGGGTGAACAGGCACTCCCCAGATTCTTAAATTCGAGAGAGCTAGTGGACTGTCTAACAGCCCCTAAGAATGTTCATGTATTAGAAAAAAAAATCAGAGAATGAAAAGCAACAAACACAAATAAAAATGAAAAGGAAAGATTTTTTTAGAAGAAAACCAATGATAATCATTAGGAAAAAAATACAATGACTTGAAAATACAAACTGTTCGAAAGTGTGGTGAATACGAATTTTCCGCAATGGTGGTGTCCGGTCTGTGTATCCCGCTATCCGGGTTTCGATTCTTAGCCTTGACCATGGTCTTCCAAAGTTCCAATGTGCCTGAATAAATATGTGAACTCGAAGTTTAAAGTATTATAAACATTTACAAAATCCAAACTGTGCATGTATCTGAATAAAATTAGTTCCCCCAAAAAATCTGAATAAATAGGTGAACTCCAAGTTTGAACTCAAATTCTCCCTTGCAAAGAAAAACATTTACGCAATTTCTAAAAAAAAATGCAAGGCAGTGACCCATCACGCTATATAACCTTCTTTTCTGTAGGATACGGTAATTAACCAGTACCCTGCCAAGTGTGACTCTAGCTAGATACTTCCTCCGTTCCAAATTACTTGTCTTGGATTTGTCTAGATACGGATGTATCTAGACTCATTTTAGTGCTAGATACCTCCGTATCTAGACAAATCTAAGACAAGTAATTCGGAACGGAGGGAGTAGAAGACAAGGGCGCAAAGATGCCGGGAAAGAATTGATTAGGCTAAGCGTCTTGGTTTCAGTCACATCATGAGGCCATGAGGGCCATGGTCATGGCTTACCCCGTCAAAGGGGAACCTTGAAATTTTACAAGTCATGGCTTACCAGTCAAAGGGGTCACTCGGGGAATTCGTGGACGGTGATCGTTTGCCCCAGTTTTCCAGTCAAGTTTGAACCACTCACTGCCGTCCGCCCCCATATATCGTGCGTGCTTAGACCACCGTATTCTCTCGTATATACCTCTAGTCTATGGCCACGGACCCCCTTTGCTGTTCACAACTGCAATATTTCCAAATCTTCCACTCACATGGCTCCGAGCTGCTGGGCGCTGTGGCTATCACTGCTGCTCGTTGCCGCGGCAGCCGATGAACAGTTGCAGGCAGGCTGCTGGGACTCGCCCAGTTGGTGCGGCGGCATCAACATCTCCCGCCCATTCTGGCTGAGGGATAACGAGGCGGAACGAGCATGTGGCTTATCGGATTTCTAGGTCAACTGCTACAACAAGAGTGTTCCTGTCCTACGCAGCTCTATGCCCGTCGGCTTTGGCTTTGCAATCGTTGGTGATATCAACTACGAGCAACGCAGCTTGCGAGTCGTTGATGTAGGCAAGCTGATGCTACTATGGAAAGGCTTCAATAGCTGCCGAATACCGATCTGGAACACCTCCGCCAAGCTGGGCGTCCAGTTTAGGATCGATCCTGTCAACCTGTACCTGGTCCTGTACAAGTGCACGGAGGAGGCCGGAGCAGAGGCTCTGGCACGTCGGCGGGGAGAGCTGGTTCAGACGAGGATGAGGTGCGGGAACCGGAGCCGGGTGTATGCCCGCGCGGGTGGGCTTTACAACGGGACGGGCGGCTACGAGGGCTGCAACGCCGCCGTCATGCCCGTGCGGGGCTCGCCGTCGGGCAAGGTGAACGCAAGCGACTATGAACGGCTCATCAAAGATGGCTTCCTATTGACATGGGATCGTCGTCCCCTTCAGCCCCCTCTGCCTACACGTAAGTTCACCCACCAAAATTATCTCGTAATCTTGTTTCAAAATAAAATATCTCTTAACCTAACATAGGAGGCCGCACTGTCTAGCTTGGATTTTCCTTATCCGATCAAGCAACCAATCATTCCACTCACTTATCAAGGATAAGGCCGTACGTAGACCCGCAGTCGTGCCCAGTCATGGCGGATCAACGTCGGCCGCAGCCGGCCCAGCCAGCGCGGCACCTCCACCTTCCTGCTGCGCCCACTTGACCATAGCCTGCAGTAGCAGCCAACTTGACACGTGCTCACATAAGCTCGTTTTAGCTACATTTTCTCCGGTTCACTGCATCAATCTTTGGTCCGTTGGTATCATGCAATTGGCCTTGCGCTGGTTAGTGCGACCCTTTCCATCTTCCGTAGGTCCCCTAAGAAGATTTACCTTTGGTTTTTCTCCTTATCTATGGCTCTTCATCGGCTAGATGCATGCATTTGCATGGTTGTGTTGAGTTATGGCGGTACTGGTTAGCGAGTGGATTATGGTGCTGACCAAACACCTTGTACCCTCGTCTGTCTCCCTTCCCTCTTGGCTTCCAACCAAGGCAGAGTACTCTCGTCTCTGTTTTTCTCTGTTTTACGTACTACTCCCTCCGTAAACAAATATAAGAGTGTTATATTTGTTTACGGAGGGAATAGCTTCTATCTTTTGAGAGTTGGGTGACAGTGCCTGTCTATCTTTCTACCCCGTTTGGACCCGGTAACTGAATGTTAACTTTTGGCTGTTTACCTAAATGTGACGCGTGGTTTTCGCAAGGAAAACTTGGGCTATAGCTTTTTACCTGTGCTACACTAGTGGCAGAGCCCGGGTGCTTATTTTGTGCTCTTTTCTGTAAACAAAGAGTTCTCTCGTCGGCAACTAATACTGCACTAGCGGTTTGATGTGGCCTGAAAAGTGAAAAGTGAAGACTAACTGCTCCAAGTGGGTACGAGTTTAGGTTAGTAGATGTTCATGAACACAAGTGGGAAGGAAGGTACTCCCTCCGATCCTTTTTACTTCGCATATTAGATTTTTATGAAATCAAACATTACAAAGTTTGACCAAATTTATATTAAAAATATCAATATCTACAATACCAAATATATATATATATATATATATTATGAAACTACATCTCATAATGCATCTAACAAAATTTATTTAGCACTGTGAATATTCATACTTTTTTCTATATGTTTGGTCAAAATAGAGATGCATTGATTTAGGACAAAAACTTATATGCAAACTAAAAAGGACCGAGGAAATATCCCCTTCGTCAGTTTGTCACACGCTTCGTTGCCCACTGTAATCCTCCCTTCCCTATGGTCCTCCTCCCATGGCTGGCGCCTTGCATCTTCCTCTTGGCCGTCATCGCCGCCGCGGCGGCAGACGGCGGCGGCGGCTGCACGCCCCGGAAATGCGGCAACCTGGCCGTCTCCATCCCGTTCGGGGTCGTCTCCGGCTCTGAGGAGAACCGGTGCGCCCAGCTCGGGTTCCAGGTCCACTGCAGCGACGGCGTCCCCTACCTCGGGTACTACGAGCGCGAGTTCGGGCTGCAGATTCTCGACATCTTCGTCCACAACGGCTCCCTGCTCGTCTCCGACGTCCACAAGCTCGGCGACTTCTCCAATGGCTCCAGCTGCCATGTCCCCACGGCCAACACCGCTACCAAAGTCGGGCACCCGTTCTCCATTAGCGCCGTCAACCAGAACCTCATCTTCTACAACTGCGCCAGGGCGCCGGGGACGGCGGGGCTGGTGGACACGGTGTGCCGGAACAACACGTTTGTCCGCGCGGGGGGCTGGTACAACAAGTCCAGCGGCTACGATTTGCCGGGCTGCAACGCCACCGCCGTGCCCGTGCTGGGGACGTCCGGCGTGGTGAATGCCAGCGACTACGAGGAGCTCATCCGGGAGGGCTTCCTCCTGACATGGCAGCTGCCGCCTGGTAAGCTCGCTCGCCAAACTAATGTCTATCCTCAGCTTCCTTATCTATGGGCCATGCGGAATTAATAGCGGGTTGGCAAGCCGTCGCCGTCGCCGTCCCCAGCCGTGGCGGGAGCTCCACGCCGCCGCCGCGGCATTGCCCGCTGGGGAACGGCACCCCAGAATTCAAGCCGACATGCCAAAATAAATAAAAACGGAAATGTGAAACAAAATAGCGCGTTGACTATGACCGGTCAAGCCGCCATGGCCACCGTCCTCCATCTTCAAAGTCGCACATCCCGCCCTCCGTTCAGTCCCGTTGCTCAAGTTAACTAGTCCTCGTCCGCAGTCCGCTCCGCTTCCCATCCCCGGCCCAATCCAATCCATGC